GTGTGCCAATAACCAGTGTGTGTGCCAGTAACCATAGTGTGTGTGCCAGTAACCATAGTGTGTGTGTGCCAGTAACCATAGTGTGTGTGCCAGTAACCATAGTGTGTGCCAGTAACCATAGTGTGTGCCAGTAACCATAGTGTGTGTGTGCCAGTAACCATAGTGTGTGTGTGCCAGTAACCATAGTGTGTGTGCCAGTAACCATAGTGTGTGCCAGTAACCATAGTGTGTGCCAGTAACCATAGTGTGTGTGTGCCAGTACCATGGTTTGAGCCAGTAACCAAAATGTGTGTGCCAGTAACCAAAGTGTGTGTGCCAGTAACCAAAATGTGTGTGCCAGTAACCATAGTGTGTGCCAGTAACCATAGTGTGTCCCAGTAACCATAGTGTGTGTACCAGTAACCATAGTGTGTGTGCCAGTAACCATAGTGTGTGCCAGTAACCATAGTGTGTGCCAGTAACCACAGTGTGTGTGTGCCAGTAACCATAGTGTGTGTGCCAGTACCAGAGTGTGTGCCAGTACCATAGTGTGTGTGCCAGTACCATAGTGTGTGCCAGTAACCATAGTGTGTGTGTGTGCCAGTACCATGGTTTGAGCCAGTAACCAAAATGTGTGTGCCAGTAACCAGTGTGTGTGCCAGTAATTAGTGTTTGTGTGCCAGTAACCATAGTGTATGTGCCAGTAACCATAGTGTGTGTGCCAGTAACCATAGTGTGTGCCAGTAACCATAGTGTGTGTGCCAGTAACCATAGTGTGTGCCAGTAACCAAAATGTGTGTGCCAGTAACCAGTGTGTGTGCCAGTAACCATAGTGTGTGTGCCAGTAACCATAGTGTGTGTGCCAGTAACCATAGTGTGTGTGCCAGTAACCAAAATGTGTGTGCCAGTAACCAGTGTGTGTGCCAGTAACCATAGTGTGTGTGCCAGTAACCATAGTGCGTGCCAGTAACCAAAATGTGTGTGCCAGTAACCAGTGTGTGTGTGTGCCAGTAACCATAGTGTGTGTGTGCCAGTAACCATAGTGTGTGTGTGCCAGTAACCATAGTGTATGTGTGCCAGTAACCATAGTGTATGTGTGCCAGTAACCATAGTGTATGTGCCAGTAACCATAGTGTGTGTGTGCCAGTAACCATAGTGTATGTGTGCCAGTAACCATAGTGTGTGTGTGCCAGTAACCATAGTGTATGTGCCAGTAACCATAGTGTGTGTGTGCCAGTAACCATAGTGTATGTGCCAGTAACCATAGTGTATGTGCCAGTAACCATAGTGTATGTGCCAGTAACCATAGTGTGTATGTGCCAGTAACCATAGTGTATGTGTGCCAGTAACCATAGTGTATGTGCCAGTAACCATAGTGTGTGTGTGCCAGTAACCATAGTGTATGTGTGCCAGTAACCATAGTGTGTGTGTGCCAGTAACCATAGTGTATGTGCCAGTAACCATAGTGTGTGTGTGCCAGTAACCATAGTGTATGTGCCAGTAACCATAGTGTATGTGCCAGTAACCATAGTGTGTGCCAGTAACCATAGTGTGTATGTGCCAGTAACCACAGTGTATGTGTGCCAGTAACCATAGTGTATGTGCCAGTAACCATAGTGTGTGTGTGTGCCAGTAACCATAGTGTATGTGCCAGTAACCATAGTGTATGTGCCAGTAACCATAGTGTGTATGTGCCAGTAACCATAGTGTATGTGTGCCAGTAACCATAGTGTGTGTGTGCCAGTAACCATAGTGTATGTGCCAGTAACCATAGTGTGTGTGTGCCAGTAACCATAGTGTATGTGCCAGTAACCATAGTGTATGTGCCAGTAACCATAGTGTATGTGCCAGTAACCATAGTGTGTGCCAGTACCATAGTGTGTGTGCCAGTACCATAGTGTGTGTGCCAGTACCATAGTGTGTGTGTGCCAGTACCATGGTTTGAGCCAGTAACCAAAATGTGTGTGCCAGTAACCAGTGTGTGTGCCAGTAATTATAGTGTTTGTGTGCCAGTAACCATAGTGTGTGTGCCAGTAACCATAGTGTGTGCGCCAGTACCATAGTGTGTGCCAGTAACCATAGTGTGTGCCAGTAATTATAGTGTTTGTGTGCCAGTACCATAGTGTGTGCCAGTAACCAAAATGTGTGTGCCAGTAACCATAGTGTGTGTGTGCCAGTAACCATAGTGTTAGTCAACTTATGACACTTTGCACAATTTTTTAATTAAAATTTTTAATTGATTGTTGAACTGTTGAACTACAGACTACAAAAGTACTCTTATAATTTTTAAAAGAAAATAGAACTAAACCTTCAGCCAGTATGAAATTATGTTCATTTGGTCTAAAGTTAACAAAGAAATTATAGAAAAATATGTAAAATGTTACGTCAAAAATTGTGGCATTCAGAGGGATAATTCCTGAGATACTATTAAAATATCGCCACCTATAGTTTAATTTTCAATGATCTTTTGTTTATTATTTTCACTGTACTGTACAGTCAAATTTTATCTTATCGGTATAAGTTGACTGACTTTGATGAACTTGTGTGACTTCACATTTTCACTTTTCAACATGGGAAATAGAAGGAAGGTGACAGAGGAGTAATTTGAATCTCACCTGTACTGTGTAACAATTTTCTGGTAAGATATCATTCTGTCTTTAGTCTGTGCAACAAGTAAAGATCCACATTCCCGGAAACCTGGATAAAACAAATACTGTCTCTAAGTTGAACATAAACTCAGATTTTAACAGGGTACATTCAGCTATTTAAAGATTAAAATTATTTTTTATTTTTTGCAGTTCAGACTCATCAGAAGTTGTAATTAATATTAAAGACTTGTTGGACTCAAATTTGTAACAATTTATTACATTTACACAAACAGCACCATCTAGAGTTGACACCAGGTAGTAATAAGTTTGTTAATACTGCACTTGACAGTGATAATATTTCATGAGGCTGTAACGCTTACTAAAGCATCACATCTTGAATCACTTGGCAATTCATTAGATTTCAATATGTGAAATGAGCCTATTAGGTCAAATTTAAAAGACAACGAATTTCTGAATGAGACCTTTTTAAGTTAGCATGGACGCACTAGAACCAGTACTTCAACTGCTGAGTCTTGATTTCGCTCAACATGAATAGAGCATTGTAGGTAATCGTGTGAAAATGACGTAATCATGTCTCGCCTTAATTTTGAAGACTATTGCACCAACTGAGTGAGATTTTACCCATTCTAATTCACCATAGATGCAAATGGCAGCTGAGACATTGTTAAGAGAGGGAAATCCATTAGTCTTGTTTTTTTGTTCCTGAAATATTGTTCTCTGTCATGACGTCCATGTATCGATAGAACCATATGACATAATATCACTTGTTTTCTCATTTGGTATCACAAAGTTGACTTTAGCATATATATAATAGGGAACAAAAGATATGAATAAATTTACAAAAAATAAAGTCAATGATAAGAAGGCAACAGGAGTAAAATGTGTTATAAATTGATGTTTAATTCAGACATTCTCTAAAAGTTACCAAGCATACTACATCTTAGAAATTATCTAAAAGCTCAGATAAAGGTGAATACAGTAGTGTGTATGTCGGACAATTTTGCTATTATGTTAATTATTTTTAACTGTGAATGATCTATGAATTGCACAGAAAGTCATAATGAGAGATGACTGCATCTTGGTTTTACTTTCATCAATTTCTGTTTTCTAGCTAACATGCCGACAATAATCCATTGTTTATAGCATGTCTGTAGTTATTAAGATAACTGGAAAAGGAAATTCATTAGACAAAGTGAAAGCATCATAGCCCTAACACAGGCCAGCCAAAGACTGCATGAAAGTGCATGTTAAAGAAGTTAGATAGAGCCAAATGGAATAGCTGGAACAATGCACTGGCAGCCGCGACCAACCAGTCAGTGCTGAGACGATTCGTGAAGACCACCAGGCATGAGACAAATGCGTCCAACCAGTCAGTGCTGAGACGATTCGTGAAGACCACCAGGCATGAGACAAATGCGTCCAACCAGTCAGTGCTGAGACGATTTGTGAAGACCACCAGGCATGAGACAAATAGGTAACAATTATAAATGAAAGTTTTGTATGCTGGACGTTACCTGTAGCATGTCCCGATATTGCTTCTAATGACGAATATAACTGACAGCTTATTTTTGCACATTGTGTTTCAACTGATGTACCACGCAACCTTCTGATTAAACCGGCCGCATGCCACGTACTTCCTGACGTGATGCTGAGGAAACAAATTGTGAGAACATGCGAGTTTAAAACATGTGCAGGTTTTTTTGTAATGTAATGTAATGTAATGTAATGTAATAGTCTTTATTGAAGTCGTATCCTAAAAATGGACATAGATCTAAGTACAATAAGTCATTGTCAATGACACGTCCCCGTTCCGTTCATATTTGAGTGACATATACATTCAAAGCAGATCATGACCGAAATGCACCTGCATATGTACAACACATTGTGCTAAATCTGAACAAAATCCATCCATGCATGACTGAGATCCGGTTCCGGAATTGTGAAAATACGTGATTTTGATGCATTTTCGGCCTTAAAATGGCCATCATTCAGCTATTGTTAAGCAGATCATGAAACAAATGCACATATCTATTTGTGACATGATGTACCATGTGTGTATGAAGTTTGAACTTGATCAATCCAAACATGTCTTGGATACGGATCCAGAACTGAATTCTTTAAACAAAATGGCCGCCAGTCGGCCATTTCGAACTTGATCC